ATGAGAGCTAAAAACTCCGATATCGACGCTTGCATCTGCTATCACAGATTCGACCAAGCGACCAATCGTTGCATTACTTACAAGTTTTATGTGGTTTATGGTAGCTAAGCAGTAGTTGATGGTGTTTTCTTAAAATTTCAGTTCATGTCAAAGAGTTTGAATGTGAGGAACTGGACATAGTGCACTATCTGGCTAAGAGACGATTTCAATGAGTCGATGCGTTTTCCTGGTTTGGTAGTTGTAATTTTGTCTTTGATGTGAAAGACGATTTTTCCAAGCATGACCTGCATATGATTGGTGTTTAACTTCACGAGGGTTTGGATCTCGATGCTGTTATGATGGCACGTAAGGTCGTTGCTTTTTGGTAAGCCTTTCGAGACTTCTGCATTGTAAGTGTTTCGTTGTTTTAAAATACCTAAATAATATAACGATTGTCGAGAATCGCCTTTCAATTACCACACAGTCACAAAACGATTAAAATTTTACTGATCGTAAATATATTTTCTTTTTTGTTGCAGAAGTACTTTATTGCAAAGCCATCATCAAAGAATATATATAATATATTAATACTAACATGGCTTAATATGCACATGAAAATCATGTGGCTTGGACGAGATATGAACTTGCACCTTCGGGATACTAGTCCGCCGCTCTACCTGTTGAGCTATCAAGCCCACAGGGAAAGGAGAGAAAAGAGATTTGACTCCTATTCATTATTTGTATTCTGTAATGATGGCTTTAGAATAAAGTCGAAACACTGTGCCATCCAGTAAACTGCTATAGTGGCGAGAATCTACGTCCATAAACAGTTTAAAAAGAGATTTGACTTGTCTCCAATCCTTGTGGGCTTGGTAGCTCAACAGCTAGAGTGGGGAACTAGTATCCCGAAGGTATGACTTCAAATCTCGTCCAAGTCACATGTTTTTTATGTGCATATTAAACCGTGTTACGATTAATATATTATATATATTAACAGAAGTATCTTATGCTCTTATCTCTCATATCACCCCACTTTTTCCGACCCTCAAATTGGCTAATCTAATCAACTTGTCATACAAATACTTTAACGTATTTCCGACGCTCGCTAAATATTCGACACCGATATCCCAAACACATAAATAACGCGGTAAAGAGAGTTTTAATTCAAAAAGTGTCTTTAAGAAACCGTGTTACCAATTGGTGTTCTCCAAAAGTGTGATGGTCGTGTGAATTGAGAACAGACGAGAGCGCTGAGCGTGCAGTGTATATTGCGCTATATCCCAGTTTATTCTAGTATGTGTATGTCAATATTCACATCTGGGACATTATCTGATTGTCAGCGCAAAACACTACCCATTGCTGTAAACATATAAAGTATTGCTTACTTGTACTGCCCGCCAGGAGATTAATATGATGTCAACTGTGTCTTGTTTGGGTCCCATTCCTATGAACTTCCCAACAACAGACAGACCAGATACTTTAAGCTTTTGTGCAGCTGGTGAATCTCATGCTTTTTATCCGTCAGTGGTAAAAGTCGGGGTTCCGGTTTCTTTTAGAAAGGGTCTCAGAGGTACATACTCATGGCTTTGGATATCAAGACTGTGCGGGCCAATTGGAAATAACATAGATTCCTGTTGCCCTTTCCTCGTCGATTTTCTGTAAAAAAGGACTGATTACTTTGAAAGGAGAGAAAGTGCAAAACTTTATATTTGATAAGTCCACTGAAAATACGTCTTACTGCGAGGACTATGGAGTTCAGGGCGTAGAGCAGATTTGCTCTCTACGCAACTTTGAAAAATTAACCAACGGCATATCCGATTAAGGCAATAGCATCTATAGTATTACCGATTTGATCAAGAATGTTGAGCGACCACATTGTCGCTAGCTGTTATTAGAGAAAATGACGCCTTTATAGCACAGACTGCATGTTACCCACTCGTAAATCACTGCGTTTTCGTGCAGTTACCATTTGTTCCCAAATTTTAGGATTTAACATAGGGATTGACATAATTGCTACAGATTTCTGATCTTGCGAATTTTGCCATCATTCCTTTCAACTACTCAGATGATAAAGTAATTTGGTATACGAGCTGCCTGCTCAGCTGGGCCATCTTTCTTTAGCAACTTCCGCATACCCTCATTTGAAGCTGCTACGTTTAAATTATTGCGCTGATCTCTTTCTGAAATCTCTAAGACATGTGAGCGTGTATCATGTACCTGTAAACACAGTATAGCGGCACGTGCTACACTTTGCTCAATCATCTGTTGATGGAGTGTGACCATTTCGCTCATGTTGCAGTTAATTTCTACCTAATTTTGAGTCGCTACTGATGTAACTTCACCATCATATTGGCTGGGTCGGCCTGAACTACCACCAGTTTGGCACGTGGTAAACGTTTGTCCTTAAATATGTTCTACTTGTAGCATAGCTTGATCGAGGTCCATTTCGAGATAGAAGATGAAAAAACCGAACTGAAAAAATACTCTTTACTACAAAAGCTAGTTTAACTCTGATAGTATATTAATCCTAACACGGTTTTAATATGCACATGAAAACATGTGACTTGGACGAGATTTAAACTCGCACCTTCGTGATACTAGTCCGCCGCTCTACCTGTTGAGCTACCAAGCCCACAGGGATTGAAGACGAGTCAAATCTCTTTTAAATTGCGTATGGGCGAGAGATTCTCGCCACTATAGCAGTTTACTGGATGGCACCGTGTTTCGACTTTATTCCAAAGCCATCGTCAGAGAATATGTAATAAATTCATCCTAACACGGTTTTTAATATGCACATGAAAAAGGTGCGAGTTCAAATCTCGTCCAAGTCACATGTTTTTCATGTGCATATTAAAAACCGTGTTAGGATTAATATATTATATATTCTTTGATGATGGCTTTGGAATAACTCTGATAAAGAACAGCAATATAATATTAGTATAAATGAATCGTTCTTTTTTACCACTGTACTTACCAACTGTTGAAACAAACCGTTTTATTGACGAAAATGCAGTAAAAGTAACAATATAGCACATTTAGTTGTTACCGCTATGAAAGGTTGTGTATAATGGCTATCGAAGGGGCCTTGTAATAGTATTGGTCATTATTGAGGAGTAGGTGATTTGTAGGAGAGAGAGCACTGCGCATTAATTAACCAGTATTTAGAGCACGAATAGCTGTACGATGGCTGGAGTGGATGAGAGGGGACTGGGAAAGATATATGTGGGCCACAACTCCTCCACTTCTCGCTAATTACTAATAGAATTGCAATCAAGCTACAACTTAAAACAAGTCTCTTTCGATTTACAATTCTATCATGTCATTTGCTGTAATTGTCACGTAGCTGTAGAAAGATTTAGAGCAGCAGACATTGTACCAATATTTCGAATGACAAAAAACAAGCCTTCATAAAATAACCATAAAAACCATTATAATTAAAACATGAACAAATCATAAAACTGTATACAGACGCACATCAGGTCAATGTTTTCTAAAGCGGCGTTCCCATATTAAAATTCTGTGTATTGAATGATGAAAGCATTGAAATGTATATTCTTTGACCATACTGCGGTGCCTATTATATCTTTATTTGTGGTAAGATGAGAAGTTGAAGCCGTCCTAGTACTATGACTTGTATATATAGATATGTGCATACCTGCATCTGTCATAGAACGTTCAACTCTGTGTTAAGTAGTGTCAGTGAAATTAGGTTGATGTGGGTTGATAAAGCTGATAAGGAATTGTTTATTTTAACCACGTAGTGGGCCGTTAGTTTTAAATTTTGCAAAACCGAGTGACCACACATACTTAAGAGTGGCAGGAGAAAAGCAAGGCTGGGGAATGGTTCTTATATAGAAAGTGATACCTAGATTTTCTGGCGGTGGAGATGATTCAAAGCGGTGTTAGCATCCCAAGTTAAGTAATATCTAGCTAATGATGAACGAGTGTCGTATATACATTTCATAAATCTTTTGACGAGTGGCAACTGTCTAAATTGCGTTGTGTTTCCTTCCCGATTGAGAATAAAACACTTCTGGTCGTTTTGATTGAACTATATGATGGTCATAGGCAAAAAGAAAGATTTTTTAAAAATTAGTCTGACCTTGTCGTCGTGAGCAAATCGTATTACGACGGGTTTGGCTAAGAGTTTTGAATTTCCTGCTTCAATCGTAACTACATGTTCATTACATATAGAAATAGAATTGATAGAAATGCGAAATTTCCATTGTTCACTCACTTTCAAGGGGATGATTGCACTCCACTTTTGCAAATTAGATTTTCGTACTTGTTAACTAATCTCTTTCAATTTTTTACAAAAAGTTTGTGAGAGTGTTTTCATTTTCTCACAAATGTAAATAAATATAGCTCCATTTTTCAAACATACACTGCATGTATGACAGCAAAGCTGTAGAATGTATTCATAACCCTGCGATATCTTTATAGAAGCAGGATTGTGAACACATGTTCATCGTTAACCTACTGTCGGGCTTCAAATACTGCCTCAGGTGACTTAGCAGTACTACCACAGTTGACTTAACAATTAGAAAAATGTGTTAGGTACAGCAAAAGTGAATTTTTCACTTGAAATCAACCTTTTTATTTTTTTATGTAGTTATATTTCAGAATCCAGCTTGAGATACTACCGTGTTTAAATAAGTGTAAATGCTACTACTACTATTACTACTACTACTAATAATAATAATAATAATAATAATAATAATAATAATAATAATACTTAAAATACATATGATACTACCATTACTATCATTGTTACAGAGCTTAAACACTATACATTTTTAGTACATAAAGAAACCGTGCACACTTGAACCCTCGTATAACGTGGCTTAAGTTATTTAACTGAGATTAAACTATTTCTACTTTGTTATCAAAAAGTTGCTGATGGGTCACCCCACCATATTTTTCTTGTTTTTTTTATTGCATCAGCCTTTTCTTTTCTCTTGCCGTATATTATCCTCCATTCCTTATCGTAATCGTCCGCTTTTCGTTGCTCGCCATCATTCCTACACAGTTCGCTGCTGCTCGTATACGTCTAATAACCAAGGATGATTATCTGACAAAAAAAGATTTATGATATCTAAAGCTTTTAAAAGGCTTTCCTTTGCATCTTTAAATTTTTTATTTATTGAAAGACACACGCTAAGATGTAGGAAGGCTCTTGCAATTCCAGGATTTTGCTCAAAATGGACAATTTTTTTCAGTTTTGCCAAAGCTTGTTGGGCATAAGCCAAGGCATCGCTATGCTCTGGGTTCTTTATTAACGACATGCATTTTGCTAGATTTGACAAGACCATGGCCATGTTGAGTTCGTCATTGGTTTCATTGAATTTTTGTTTTGCCTTATTCAATAAACTGATTGCTTGTATGTAGTCTTTCTTCTCTATCAAAGAAAGTCCAACATTGTGAAGGGACTCGGCTATAAGGCGATCTTTTTTGTTTTGACTTAAATTGTCCCCTACACTTAAATTCATTCTCAATTCTCTAGCTTTGCACAATAACTGGTAGGCTTCAGTAACCAATCCAAGATATAGAAAACATAAACCCACGCCATTCAAGATTTCTGCCATGTTAAGAACGTCGTTGTCAGCGACGAAGTTGGCTGCTTCTCTGTAAGTATTCAAAGCTTCATTAAGTTTTCCAAGTCGTTGTCTGCACCACGCTACTTTGATATGGACAAGTAGTTGCTTCTCGTTATCATCGCTGTATTTGTACAAGATATCAATTAAATGCTTTTCTGCATTTTTAAAATAAAATGTACTGGTGTAACAGCATACTTTTTGCATGAAATTATCAAAAAAAAGGTCAACACTTGGCTCACCTAGATAGTCAAAAAGTTTATTCTCGTTGGATTCAAATAACTTTATTGCCAATTGAAAGTTTCCAAGTTCTTTTTGGCATGTTGCGATATGATATGAAATCTTTATCATAATGAAATCGCTGCTTTTTTCTCTTAGCATACTTTTGCATGTTTGGTACGAAGAAATTGCTGACTCGTACTCTTCGCTGCATCGGTATGCATGTGCTGCAGCTTTAGCGAGCTGTGCTGCAACTGTGAGAGAGTTTTCTTCATGTTCTTGTCCTTTATTGATGGACGTGAGAACGACAAACATCGCAGAGGCGACAACGTCAACTATATACATTGCTTCATCATTCTTTACTTTTTGCATGGCATCCAGCATCCTTTCAGCATTGCTTTCATCAAGCTTGAATTTTTTCAAGCTTTCACCACGTGGCGACAGCCTCTGAAACAAAGTTTGTTCATTTCTCTCCACAACATTTCTGTATACAGCGTTTCCATCAGTTACTTCGTTGACAAAATAACGCAACCAAGTCGACAAGCTATGCGGTGTTTTCAATTTCAAAGACGGGGGTGCAATGGATAAAGCAGAGGCTATTCTTACGTGTTCACCATCTTTTCCAAATAGTTTCATTGCTTGGGGGATTGCTTGTGCCAATGGACAATTGCCACCAACGCCTCCGTCTACAAATTCATCATCGCCAATTCTGACTGGAGTATCAAAGTAAATTGGAGCATTTGAGGTTGCGAGCAGGACTTGGTAGGTTGGGTAAAGTTTGTAGTCTTCGTTTGCTGTATCAAACAACACCAGCTCTTGCTTGCTGCCAAGTTTTTTAGCCACAGCTCCGGCCACACATTTTAAATTGTCGATATTTCTAAAATCTTCAAGTTTACAATCGCCAAACTGATCTTTTAGTACTTTCTCTAATTTGGCTTTTGAGTATGTTTTAAAAGGAATGTTCGGCAACTTAGGGGTATGAGAAAGAAACTTTTGCATTCTCGATTTCTTGAAAATTTGTTTAATTTTTTTACGATACATCTCAATGCATTCATCCACGCTCATTTGTTCCCTTTTACTGTCGTCTCCATCAATTTTATTTCCACCTACCAAACCAAACGCAATCAGACCACCTGTACTGGTACCAACTATCATGTCGTACAAATCGGTTGGATGGATGGGATCCTCTACTCCATCCATAAAGTCAATCAGAAACTCTCTAACGTTACTATCTTTTAAGAAATCTACTTCCTTTTCATCATTGTCTACAAGGCAGCTCACATCATCAGGATTTCTTAACACAATCGTCGCCAATCGTAGAACGTCGTCCAATATCTTCAGCTCCAATATACCTCGACTTCCTCCACCATCTAAGGACAGTATGTCAATTGTTTTTTTTGATGCTTCCTTTCCCTTGCTCATGACGTGTATACACAAAAATAACTCAGTTTTTTTCTTTAACGACAAGATTTAAGTAACCACACCTTCCTTTCTGAGAAAGAAACAAGTTTCTCACGGCAATATCTTAGTTTTGTTAACGAATCTCATATCAAGTTCCACCCTACGAATAAAAATAAAAGCTGTAAGAAGCCAATAAAATAAAGTCTCAGAGAAATTTTCCATACTTGTTTTCCAAGATCAGGAGTTACAAGCTAAGGAAATATTAGATGGCTCCTGGAAGAGCAGGTCCCTGACCTCACTTCGAATAAGAATGACAATATTCTCGTATTTATTATAATGAAATTATTACTATTACTAATATACATAAGAAAGAAATCTTAGTGCTAACTTAATATGAATATAGGGCAAGTAAAAAAATTAAACTAGCCAGCTGACTTGAATTATATATGCTTAGAATTATATTGCATTGAGCTCCCCTTAATTATGTTTGCTTAAAAAATAAGTCGTTTTTGGTGTTTCTCACATAAAGTATAGCATGTCTATTTTGTCTATTTATCTTTTACATACATGAAATATGAACCATTAGCAAGTGAGAGCTATTTTGTGGGAAAGATAAAAAACAACACAACATAAGATGTTAGATTGCAGTAGTTGATTAACTATTTCACTAAGTGCCTCAATGAATACTGCCAACGGCATCGGGCAGTTGACTAAAAACGAAAGATGAATACTTTAAAATTAAATCGTACACAACGCAAATTAACATCTTCATTATAACAAAAGTTGTATTGTAACTGAAATCAGTTCGAAATTTCTTTCATATAAAGGAGAAAGTCAATCTTTGCGATGGTGACAGATGTCACAGTCCAGGGCATTCGGCAATCTATGGCATTTATCGTGGATGAGTCATCAAAGTATGTTATTGATTTCTGTCTTTAAGATACGGAAACAAATTCTTCTAACGCGAACAAATATGAGGAATGTAAACGTTCCTTTTAGAAAACGACAAAATATCCTTTGCCTAGTGACACTAAAAAAACTGCTTGTATTTAGTTTATATTCGCGCAAATGAAATTGCCATAATATAAAGCTCAGCAAGATGCTACATTCATTTACTAACATTGTCAGGAACAATCTTTGTTAATGGTTCCTGCACATAGCACAAGGGTCTCCTGTTTGTGAAGATTTGCCATATTTCACACTCTCAAACCTATTATGCCCAGAATAGTTTTCCGCTTAAAAACATCTCTTTTTGTAGCTTTTCTTTCATTATAGGGTACTTATACTTTTGTTTAAAATATAGTTTTAATTGACCAACGTCTTAAATTTTTATTATTGTTCGGAAGGCATGCGATAATTTTATTAATGTCAATGCACAGTAGGGAAAATGAAATCAAAACAGTGTTTTGGTCAGTTGTCATAATTGTCAAAATGATGCTGTTTGTATCAATGCAAATTGGTAGAATGGCTGATATTCATATATGCAGGATATACCGCAATCAATTAGTTTGAAATATAATGTTTTATATGACTATTAGCCTTATGATTATATGTGATGTGATATGATGTTGCATAGTATGTTATATAACTGTTATTTGATGTTATATATAAGACTGGATTAAGCAACTCTATATTCGCAGTACCGAAAACAAAAATCGCTGCATTTTCATCATATTTCATCATATTTCATCACATTTCTGGCAATTCTATAAACTGGTTGACTCCTTAGTTATGTTCATTACATGTTGATAAGTCTGGATTGTTCTCGTATTTATTGCCCTCCAATGCAAGATAATTGCCCTACAATATATTTGCTGTGCATTTTCAAAAGTTGGTCCCTTCATTTTTGTCTTCAACTTTTGTGCCAAATGCTTGATCCAGTCTTACTTCAAGGTCAGTGACATCAATTCCTCCAATTATCTCAAAAGAAGAGTGGATAAAACTGTGCCATCAATCATGCCGACCTTTTCTCAAACAAAATTCAAGTTTTATATCAACACTATTGCGACTTTATTAAAGTAACACTGACTATCCTATGTAAAAAATGAAAAGTTACGGCTTAGTTATGTGTATGAGACCTTCAAATGTTTAAGTCGCGTTTACTGTGATTGGTCATATAATCACATATCGTAAATGCTTGTTTTAGCGCTGCAATCAGAATTTAAGAAAGTTATTTAACGCCGCTCCCGGTTAAGCGCTACATCTCAGATATTGATAAAGTGTAATTTTGGTAATAAAAGAATACATTAGTTTTTTGTTGCACACCTATGTGAAACTTTTGTCAAGTTATATTGTATTGGACTTTCAAAATGGCGGTTTGTGATACTACTCCCTCTAACATTAGCAATGTTAATTTAAGGAATAACATCCTGTAGGCATTGAATGAAGAATCTATTTGCTGTAATAATGCACATTTAAACATAACGTATGATGGAGGGCGAGTGAAATGGGCAAATAGTTTAGAATTATTGAAAGAATTTGTCAAAACTAATCTTATGGTTCCAGGCCAATGGACTTCACCTGGAGATCAATCTCGACGTTTTAAAAGTACTCGTTCTGACGTGTGCATCGCATGGTATCAAAAAAGCAAAAAACCTTATTATTCCAAGGCAAAGTAGGTAAAATACTAAGAGAAGCTCTGATAAATATTTGTAAAAAGACGGCTTATCTCCTCGTCCGGCTGAAAATATCGTTGCTGATAATTCAAACAAATCAACTGACAGCTAAAAATATTCAATTGTACAAGTACATTGCAATTGCTCGTGCGAGAACACTCAGAATGACATAGAAGAATTGAAATGAAATGTGGAAATATTGCAATCTAGAATTGATGCATTACAGAGCTTAGCAAATGTAAACGAGGCATGCAACTCTAATAATATGTATCTGAAGGAGACTAATTACGGGATCTTGCTGACGAAAAAAAGAAATCTGAATGGCTACAGTTGGAGGTTGTTTCCTTTAAGAAAACGATTGTCCATTTGGCTGAGTTTAAATTAAGGTATGAAACAAACTTGGAATCGGTAAATGGTATGGCAATAAGCAATGATGAGATTGGCCAAGTGTCCAGCGTCCATATTGAGGGAAGTACTCCGAATCAATGTGTTATGCATAATCAGTCAACTCCCTTCCCAAATATTACTTCTATGATAAACATTGATTTTCATCAAATACAGCGTACAAACAAAGGAGAAACTGCAAATGTTTCGCTTAATGACCCCATAAGATTGATTCCAACATAAAAACCCACCCGTGCGTCTAGCCAATGAGAAATAAATCTCGTGCGTGGTTAGGATGTCTATCACAAACCGAGCCAACTGAGGGAAATGAGAACTGTTTTGTTTGTACTGCGATAGCCTACCCAAGTAAAACTGTTGTGGAAAAGACTAGTTCAACCGCTTTTAAAATTAAGGCTTTCCATTTACAGCTATTACATTACCAAAAAGGCCAACGAAATAAACACCAGCTCTATAAGATTAATAAAAGAGTAAATGAGGAATCTTATGAAACAAAAGAACAATATGTTGTGCACCAAGAAAATAAATTAGCTTTTGAAGTCAATAGCAATACCCATCTAAGTCAGCCCAATACCATAAGATATCCTACGCTCAGAAAATATAAAGATAACAGACAAAGAAACAATAACTATGAACCTCGTGAAGTCTATAAAACCTAGAGAATGAACACCATTATTGGCAACAGAATATCAAATAAAGTAAATTGTCGTCCTTTTTTTCCTTGAACCTTTATTTTTTATACTATTTGGAGCCAAAAGTGGAGGGGATGGCTGAACTATGTCCACAAGAACTTGAAGGTCAAAACGCTGTAATAAACCCACTAAACTTGATATACATCAAAAGATCTTCCGACTTTTCTGTTCTACGAAATGCTCACAAACATGAATTTGTACCTTCCTTATTACTGTCTAATACAACGTCAATTGCTCCTAAAATTGACGAGATTGCGAATACCATATTGATGTCAGACACTGATGTTGTTATGTTTACAGAGACTTTGTTAAAGGAACCAATTCCAAACAAAGCAATTAGCATTTCTAATTATCAACTGCTAAGAAGGGATCGAGCTCAAAAGTTGCACGGAGGTGTCTGCTTATACGTAAAGTCATCAATATTCAGCCGCCAGCTTTCAGATATGCAAAGTGAAGAAGAATAGTGGGCCATGCTTCGCCCTCACCGTTTACTTAGAGGGTTTCATCAAATTATAGTCGGTGTAGTCTATCATCCCCCGGGAGAAGATAATGATCGTATGATTTAACACATACAAAATACATTGGAAAGTTTCGAGTCATCTTTCCCCAATAGTGCAATTATTATTGCCGGTGATTTCAATAAACTAAAATTGAAGCGCACTGTAAAATTATTCCAGCTAAAGCCAATGGTCAGTTTCCCAACCCGAGGACCAAATACTCTTGATCAGATTTTGTCAAACCTAAATAAGTATTGTAACCTACCAACTAGTGCGTCACCATTTGGTCTCTCGGATCATGTGACAATTAAAGTCAAACCAAAAGAACGTACCGTTTCTTGCCAATCTCAGTCAATAGTATAACGACAAAGTAAAAAGGCTAGTATTGGCAGATTTTCAATTGCTGTCCCATGGTCCCATATGCTATCCAACGAATATACATGTGACCAAAATATCGAAATAATGACAGATATCGTTAAATACGGACTAAATAAAATGATGCCCCAACGTTCCCTCAAGGTTTATAAATATGATCGTCCATGGATGACTAGACATCTAAAGACACTGATCTCTAAACGCCAAAAAGCATTTTTGTCCGGAAACGCTGCCTTATTTAAAGTTCTTTGAAACATGGTTAACAAAGAATAGAAAAGCATTCGAAAAGTATATTATAAGTCTAAAGTTGAAAACCTTAGAAATGTAAAACCTAATAAGTGGTGGCAAGAGGTCAAACAACTGTGTAGAAACTATAAATTGAACCAAAAAAAACTTTAAGACATGTTATCTACAGATTTAGATAACGATGAAAAATTTTATGTGATAAAATCAACGAATCCTTTATAAATGTGATGCAAGAATATTCTCCGCTATCTACTGAGGCATAAGTGTCTATGGATGAGAACGACCAGTCTATCAAAGTCGATGAAATCGAGGTTGTTGAAAAGTTAAGAAAAA